CATGGAGTCCCTGGTCCATCTTCGAACTCCACCTTGGGTGACTAAAACAGTGGTTTCAAAAATGGGCCAGATCTGTGCCACATACAACAGAGTGCCTCATGCCTGATGACTAGGTTTACCTATAATGTGAGTGGTGCTCCCAAAAGACCACTTTCTGCTTCACCTTGGCAATGCACTCCTCCCAAGATTTTGTGTGTGTGCCAGCCCCTTTGAACTATATTCCCAGCCTTCGGGCAATCTGTCCTATGGTGAAGGAGCGAGAACATCGGTCAGCCCAGGTCCCAAAGAACACGGCCACGCTCTTGCCTCGATGTACCTTGGATCTCGGAGGCTTTGACCTGCGGGCCTCTGCTGCCTGGAATAGTCAGAGTTAATGTTTCAAGTCCAGTCACCAGAAATGATTGTAGCTGGCAAAAGTTTGATTATATATGCTGAAGATGGGGTTAGGGTGGGGGTGGGTGGCAGGGGGGAGGAGTAAACAATAGGTGGAGATGGAGCCCAAAGACAGAGAGAAAAACGGTTGGAAGGACAAATGAATGGGTAAAGGTCAGCCTGAGAGGAAAAAAAAAAATCGATAGTTGCTAATGGGGACTATTAGTGGCTGACAATGGGTTGTTTGTGGTAGTAGCCCCTGTGATGACAAGGCCTCAAGTTGTGGGGGTTGGGGTAAGGAGATGGGAGAAGGTCATAGTCACACAGCATGGAAACAGACCCTTCGGTGCTCAAGCCCTAAAATTTATTGAACTTGATATTGAGTCCAGAAGGCTGCTGAGTTCCCAAGCAGAAAATGAGATGCTGTTCTTCCAGCTTGCACTGAGCTTTACTGGACCACTGCAGCATGCCTGAAACAGATGTTGGCTAGGGAACATGGTGGTGTGTTGAAGTAGCAGGCAACCAGAAGTTCAGGGTCATTTTGTGAACAGAGCACAGATGTTTTGCAGAGTGGTTGCCCAGTCTGTCCTTCATCTCCCCAATATAGAGGACACCATATCGTGAGTAGTGAATACAGTAGATGAGATTGTGTGAAGTGTAGGTAAATCACTGCTTCATCTGGAAGGTGTGTCTGGGGCTTGGACAGTGAGGAGGGAGGATGTAAACAGGCAGTTGTTACACCTTCTGCGAATGCATGGGAAGTTGCCTTGGGGTGTGGGGAGCGGAGGAGGGAGTGGACCAAGTGTTGGAGAAACTCCAGAGAAGGGTCATACCAGGCTCAAAACTTTAACTCTGTTTCTCTCTTCACAAATGCGACCAGACAGATTCTCCAGCCTTCTCTCTTGTTTTTTTTTAAATTTCAGTTCTCCAGCAGCTACAGTACTTTGCTTTTATCTGGCATTGCTGATGATCTTTTCACTTTCTGTCTACGTTCTTGACCATTTGCAAGTTAACAATGGCTATTGTTGGTCAGGTTATCGCTATTTAAACTTGTTTGTTGTGCCAGTCCCCGAGTAACAGGAGCTAGTCTATATGCCTGTTTTCTTGTTAATAGGGTGGGGTAAAGATCAAGGGAATGGTAGCTAACTATCACTTTGCTTCTACAGTAATATCCTTTTTTCCTGGATTATGCCAGTCTTGGCTTCAGGTATTTTTTTAGACCCAGAAAGCTGTGGTTTCAGTAACAATTGAGGAGACACTCCAGTGCAGTACTGAGGGAGTGCAGCAGCGTCAGTGCTACAGTCTTTCAGCTAGAGCATGATCTGCCACCTTCTGTTGGAAGTGGAAGTGTAGAGAATGTCCCTATTGTCCCAACCAGTTTTTTTTTAAAATCATGTAATTGTGCAGCACCGGAGGCTGTCATTCAGGCTGTTGCTCCTGCACTGGTTATTTTAATGAGCAATTTGTTGAGTGCCTGTAACCTGAAACAATCTTCCTTTTCAGAAAAATATTCAATTCCCTCACAAATGCACGACACTCTTGGACAGCATATTCCAGATCCTAACTACTCACTGTACAACAAAATGTCCTCCTGTCTCCATTGCTCCTTTTACCAATTATCTTAAAAGTCGTGGCCTCTGATTCTCTATCCTTCCACCACTGGGAACAGTTTCTCCCCCATCTACTCTGTCCAGACCCCTCATGATTAACTCTATCAAATTTCCTCTTAATCTTCCCTCTAAGGAAAGACTCTAATTTATCTACATTCTCCTTGCTGGAAATATTCTTGTGAATGTTTTCTGCACTCTGTCTAAAGCCTTCACATCTTTCCCAAAGTGTGGCAGCCAGAATTGGACATAATACTCCAGTGAGATTGAACCACTGTTTCATTAATGTTTGACATAACCTCTTTGTTCTCATACTCTTTGTCCGAGTTAATAAAGCCTGCACTATTCTAAACTATTCTCTTAACCTGTCCTCTGAACTTCAATGACTTGTGTAATTAAGCATCCAGCTCCCTCTGCTCCTGCGCCCCTTTAGAATTGTACCCCATTTTTATATAATGTTGCTTGTGTTCTTCCTAACAAAATAAATCACTTCACCCTCCTCTGAATTCAATCAACTTGTCTGTCTTTGTGAAGCATTACAGCATCTTCTCTGTTCATACTGGTCGAGTTTTATATCATTCTTACATTTTGAAATCGGACCTTGTCTGCATGGCTTAGGTCAGTGCTTCCCAAACCTTCTCTGCAGCGGTGGCATTGTTTGGTCTGGGAAAAGGTCATTTCAGCATTTCCCCCCTCTCTTCATCAATCCCTCCTGCACCTCTCCTACCACTACCCATCTCCCTCATGGGCCAGTTGATGAAAAGGTGGGCAGAATAAATACTTGCCTTTTTAGGGAGCAGGAATCAAGACTCATTAAGCAGTCAATTAAGCTGCTCCCTCCCCTAAGGGAAGCATTTTAAATGGATCGCGTAGCTTCAGAGCTCAACCTCAAAATAGTCTTCAAAACACTGGTCTAAGTTATTAACTACATATTAGGAGGAGTGAGGGTCTGAACACTTACCTTTAGAGCGTTCCACTACAAACCTTCTAACAACCTGAAAATAATCAATTAACCAATAATCTGTTTGCGGTCACTCAGCCGGTTTTGTATCTATGTTGCTACTATCCTTTTTATTCAGTAAGGTACAATTTTGCTCACATCTGTGGCATCACACTGTCGTGCCTTTTGGAAGTACATGTACACATCAACTTTACCCCTATTGGAAGTTTTTAATCAACTAGTTCAGCACAAATTTCCACTTTACAAATCCATACAGCCTTTCCCAGGTTGAGTACTTAATTCTCAAACATTCTTTCTGGAAGGTTCTTCATCACGTTTTTTAAAAAAAGTCATTCACAGGATGTGGGTATTGATGGCTGGTCCAGCATTTATTGCCCATCCCTAGTTGTCTTTGAGAAGGTGATGATGAACTACTGCCTTGAACCGTTGCTGTCTGTTTGGTGTAGGTAAACCCATGAAGCTGTTAGAATGAATTTGTGGGATTTTGACAGTGATTCTGAAGGAATGGCGATACATTTCCAAGTCAGGATGGCGAGTGGTTTGGAAGGGGATTTGCAGGTGGTGGTGTTCCCACATATCTGCTGCCCTTGTCCTTAATATTTTTTCTTGTCACATGTATACAAATGCAGTGAAGTGATGTTTAGTGTTGCCATGCTCCAGCACCATCTTGAAACACAGAATATAATGCAAGATTCATCTTTACATTCCCCTTCTTATGGGCTTTGGGGTCTCAATTATAAGATCCACCACTGCTAGTGCTCCTGTGACCGCTGCATCTGAGCTGGAGCCATGTCTCCCTCACTTCTGGAAGTCAGCTCTTTTGACCATGTTTGGATCAAGGCTGTAATGTGATCAGGAGCAGAGTGCCCTGGTGGATCCTAAACTGAGCATTAATGAACAGATTGTTAAGCTGCTCGATCTCTGTTCATAGTCAGATGTACAGCACGGAAACAAACCCTTCAGTCCAACTCGTCCATGCCAACCAGATACGCTGTATAAATCTAATCCCATTTGCCAGTATTTGGCCCATATACCTACTAAGTGTAAGATGTCTTGAGATGATAAAAAGGTGCTACAGAAATGCAAGTTTGTTTCATTAAAAAAAAATTGTGTTCCAGATCTACCATAATGGTGTCCTCCAGGAGGCTTGCAGATGTTGGGTACAGAATGTTCTCTGGATCAATGATATTACTGACAATATATGGTGGTTATCTGTGTAGTGCCCGTGCCTACCGGTACTTCCAGAGACAAAAGGCCTTAAAGGCAGCAGCTGAAGATCAAGTCAACAGAATGATGAAGGACTAACAGCTGTCCCTACCCTGGAATGTGGAAGCAATTGTTTTCGTGTGACAAAAAAATGTTATTTAATATTGTGTAACTACCAGAATTAAGTTTTTTTCCTGGTAGGTTTAAAGATGAAGATTAATAGTTCAGTTTGAAAATTTTCCAACGGGTTGTACAGTGTAACTTTACCTAGTCATTTAAAGTTTGGAGTTTCTGGCTCCTCTAAATCAGAAAACTGAATTTCAGCCTTGATTTTTCACACTTGAAAAGCTGACATTTCCTGCAATGGTCAATTGCTTGAGAGACAGTATTTTGATCCGGTAACCTTGGTGATGAGTTCAGAGCCAGGATGGTGCAGAACATGGAGTGACAACCTTACCACAGGCAGGATTTCTGACAATGGGTAGCATCTTGCCTATGAACCAGAGGCTCTGGGTTCAAGTACTGCTCCAGGACCCAATGATGAAGGAAGGTGCGTTGATAATTGGGACAAACATGTGCTTCCTCCAAACCACGACCTGTTACTGTTCTTACACAAACATATTGGCATTGATGCATGTATGAACTACATCTGCATCAAGAAGAAGTGTACATTAGTAAAGTATTGATATTGAAGCAATCAGTAACCATGTATGTGTAATTCACTTTAAAACATTTAATTAAAAATTCTCCTTACTGCAGTGCACTTCTGTAGGCTCCAGCTGCCCTTTAGTATAGGGCTTCTAATGGTGGAGGTGGTTGGGATCCCAGTGGGTTGAAAACTGAGGCAGCAATGGTCCATATGGAGCCAATCCTCACGAGCACTATATATTTTAAAAAAAAGTCAAGTCTGACATTTCATGGAAAGAGGTTGAACTATGACTTTTTTTTTCTGTCCCAATTTGTACTAACTGGCAACTTGGCCATCAACTACATAGAATCTCAATGGGATTTCAGTTAATGGTGAGAAAATGAAATGGCAGCGTTCAATACAAAGTATTTAGTGACACCTTTATTGCAGTGTATCCAGTAAAAAAAACACATTGAATTAACAACAAACAGAAGAACCTCCACCAAATACATCCACAGCTTGTTATCTCACAAAGTCTATATCAACAGAAATTTTGATGCATTGATTTAAAATGCAAGACTACTTATTCTGATTATTATTACAATGGTCTTCCTTCCCCAAATCACTCCTTTCACTAAAGCCACTCATCTAATCACTCAAGTGTTTCTGACTCAATGCTGCCTCTTATCTTAAGTTGGTTGGGACTTCAGGAACCATGCTGCAGGTTTGAAAAACATGCACAGTAAAACTGCAGAGTAACATTCTACAATAAATGTTAATGTTAAACAGTTCAACATGAAAACAAACCAAGATATCGGATGCCTCATCCAACCAGAGCGACCTCAAAGCCTCCATTGGCTTTTAATCCCTTATCAGTTCAGGCACCAGTTTTATAGGTGATCACTTCAATTATCTTGCCATCTGAAAAAGACATTTTCCACAAGGTATAGTCTACATACTCTCAGCAATTAGAATTGCCCCAATGAAATGCAAGCACTCCAAGGTGATGGTGGATGTTCTTGCCATCGCTCAAAGCAATGGCAAAACCTTTACTGGGGTACAGCTTTTCACATCATTGCCCACCATGCAGCTCCTTACACTAAAGTAGTAATTTGACAAGGGAAAGACTAGCTGATTTCCTTTGTAGCCCAGAAGGCAGAAAGACCAGTTGTATCCTTCCCTCCTCCAGCCCACAACAAGATTAGTTAATACACTACTGACCAGTGATTGAACAGGGGAGCGTTCGGATGCATAGCTCAGTTCCACAGCAGCTTATAATGTCACCTACTGCATCTTCAGGGTTTAAGACAAAAAAAAATCATTGCTTCCATTTTGAATTAAATTTTTCTTTAAATTTCTGGCACCTCATGGCAGACTCCAATGCCAGAGAACATGGGCATCACTGGTGCCATGATACTTGACTCCAAAAAATAATTGGAACATAATCACTGCTTGTTCATTGTGCTAAACCAGTCAACTGTGAAACAGCACAACCAGAATGATACCAAACCTTCACCAGGAGGGTAAATGACATCATGTGTCCAGTTATTGCTCACACTTTTACAAGTGACATTACTGTATTATGGCTGGCTGAGCATTAAAAAAAATCAGATCAGTCTATTTCAAGCAATTGGTTTAAATTGTAATTATTTTTAATAAAGCAATGTTAAACAGTCACTTTAAAAAATGATATCCAGTTTGCAATTTTGAAAATCAATGCTATTGTATTTGAATGATCTCCAGCACAGCCAGAGGATCCATTGGTCCCAATTCCATCCCAGCTTTTCCAGCCTGCACACATATTACACAGCATCTGAGCCAGTATAATCCAGAAACACCCGAATCAAATTCAAATTCATTCTGTATAGATAACAATTTGGATGTCAATAGTGTAGACGCAAGAGTGGCACAGCACTAGTGCTAGGTCATACCCAGAATGTGCCTAGAGTGAATTTCTGGACCAACAATTAACTTTGGATATTATGGGAGTACTTCTCCTTCCTCCCCCCCCCCCCCCCCCCCCCCCCCCCCCCCACAAACCCAACCCCTCCTTTCCCTCCAAATAAACTAAAGAAAAATGAGAGGAGTCACACAGTGGACAAGTTGACCAGACAGCAGAGCAAGACATTGGTCATCAACTGGCATGTAGTAACAAATATCAGAAAGTAAATAGTGGATGTATTCTGTCACATATTCACACCAATTAGAAGGGCATTGTATTGAAAGGGTGCTAAGGAAACTTATTGGATACAAAATGCATCTCACTGTAAAATTTAATATCTTGGTATTTGATCAATCACATGATGCAAGGACAACATGCATCTGCTTGGGTCACAACACATACACTTGCTGACGTTTGTGTCAGTAAGCTCGGCAAATCTTCAAGTGAACATACGCTTGAATATTGGATATTTCCCACGAACATGACTTCCAGACAAAAAAAAACATGCACAACAATATAATGGCTGGCAGAGATGGAGGCTAAAGTTCAAAAATATGGCTCAGGTGAAGTCCAAAAAAGAGAACAATGGGGGACCGTAATTCAGATTTGGTTTCCTTCCCTATCACAGAATTAGCTGAACTGAGGATGTAATCATTTCCTTTAACTCAGGAATTTCTTTAACAATCAGCAATTTCACAAAAACAGAAATATTCCACAGAATCAGAAAGGCTGAAAAAGGACTATAAAGTCAAAAGGCACATATTTGAAATCATTGCATCATCTCTCCGCCTGAGATACCACTTCTCTCCCCAGACCAAGATGGGATTTGACAGGGTGGGGACATTTTGAGGGGGTGATGGTGGTATAGAGTTAAAGGGGAGGAATAAATATGTATTTTCAAGGCTATTCTTCCTCCAAAACAACCGCTGGTGCTACATTTCTCTTTTGTCAGAGGGGAGGTTTTTAGTTGTGGTAGCTTAAAGTCAGGTCTGCTACAGCAGGCTTCTGAACAGGATGCTTTGGTTATGTTTGATGAATCTACTTTAAAAAGCTTAGGACCAAGTAGGATTGGATAGGAACCATAGCCAGGCTTGAATTAGATATGTGATGCATGCTTAGAGTCTTCTCTGGCTGAACTTTCTAAAAAAAAAAGTGACAATACAGCCATTTCACAAGGCTGCTTTTGCATTGATAAAAACAGAATTTGGTGTTTGACCTGTCTGAAAAGAAATGAAGACTTTGAGGAAATTATTTCACACAAAACACTTGTTTTCCCTAAAAAAAACTTTGAAAAAGATACCAGTCTATAGATATTGAGGGACTTGTGTACCATTTCTGCAGAGTCCATTTCAGGGACTAATGCTGTGGCTTGTCACAATTCAGTTCTGGTGATGTCATCTTCAATGCAAACGGGAACTTTTAAACATTAAATGCATACTTCATTACAGTATTCAAATACCCTCAACTACACTACAGTCTTTTAACTTCTTTCCAGTAAGCTATCCTTAAACCAGCAGGAACAGCTGTACTTCAGTGAATTCCCTATCTACCCAAAACATGGAGGTTAAAGTTAGTTAAGAATCACTTTGTGACACTGGTAAACCTGAATGGCACAAGACCATGCCATGTGAGAAGAGAAAAAAAACATCAACTTTACATGGGGAGGGTAGGGAAGATTATAAGTGTGTATTTTAAATAATTTCTGCCAGAACACCAAGACACCCTCACACTAATTAAAGTGCAGCCTTTAATAGAAATGCAAATGAAACCAGTGGGCAGGACCACATCCTGACAAAGGATAGCATGGTTCTCTTCTATAAATCTTCTACCATTTGTAGCAAGACCACTGCCAAACGAGAAGGCATTTTGGACAGATTCAAAGATCAAATTGCATGGAACTTATTCTAGCCTATAAATTTTCTTGTATAGGAAAAGAAAATCCTGAAAAATCCAAACTGGCACCTTGTTGGTCATTCCATATTAGGGACCTTAATACAGATTTCAGAAACTGAAACTGGATGCTGATGTCACATCCTTTAAAAGGTGGTTCCTCAATCTGGAGGGCTGAAATACAGCACAACTCCCTCAAGACAAATTTGATTTTAAAACATTCCTTAGTTATCCCAAGACACAAATCAAGTTCTAAAGATAAACCTTGCTCAGATTCACTCCAACATTTTGAACAACATAATTTAAAAATAAAATCCCTCCCCAGACCCCTTCTATAACTTCATGAACCAAACAGCTAACTCGTGAGAGCTCTTAGTGGTGATTAATACATCAAATCTCCGAAATCAGGGTGTATCCATGACAAATGGAGCATAGACCACTTGGGATAAGGAAAGAACTTGGCAGCAGGTACATGACTACATCATTTTACATAAAGAAATAAACCAGCATATTTTTCTGGTCATGGTTTAGCAGTATGTACAAATATGCAGTTGTAAGTGATTCCAGTGAAATGGATCTAAATGACAAGGTCTACAAGAAAACATCAAGGGCTTTAGATTACTTATGTAATATGGATAAGTACATCCCTTTCAATAGTGCTTTAACTGCCAGTTTAATTCAGACTTTTACCCAGTCCTGTGCTACAAGAGCAAGTGAGTATCAGGCAGTAATGCACAGCACCAGGTTCAAGTTAAGCACCAGGTTCAAGTTAATCCATCAGCCAGCCTTCAATCAAGACCCAGTAGACAAGTTGTCATCAAGCTGTGGTATCACGCTTTCTGGGGCTACGGATGAAGTGCCAAGAGGTGCAATACCCCATTCCTCCCAACAGCCAATGGTATTCGTAGTGGTTGCAAACTCTCCAAGTTCCTTGATTTTAATTGATGGTACAGGGGAGTGAGGTAGTGACAGTCTGAAAAAGAAAGACTGACCCAAAATGGCAGGTTTGGTGGCTGAATAACACTACATGTGCTATACAGTGTTTCAAAGATAAAGGTCAAGATGAGATGAGAACAGCAGAGTAAGTTGGGGAGGTTACTGAAAAGAGCTCATGATACCAACAATACCTTGTCATCTCATCTTCAACTCTGACTGACTGGCCCAGTAGCTGTGCTACTGGTCATCTTTAGATCATGCTTCCAAATCCCCCACATTAGGCAAACAAAATGCACCCATCACCATAAAGGACATTCAGATCAACACCTCACCACAGCAGAAGAAACATGAAAGCTCACTCAAGATCTCTCAGAGTTAGAGTTAGAGGTTTTCTCTGGCAACAGAAACAAAAAAAAAGTCAGTTGGCTTGGTTGCTGTCTGACAGTAAAAAATGTTGGCAGTTTGGAGTCACTGACAGCAAGGCCCTGGTTTGATCCCTGCAACATGCCGCATTCAGTAACGTCAGCCAAATCAGCAGAGAGGACACTACAAATGGCTTCAATTTCCAGGTTAGAACAGGAAGTAAGGCAGAAGAAATTGTTTAGGAGTGGAATGAAGGCTGCTCTGAATGCCAGATGCAAACTGACCATTTGAAGATGGGCTTAGTCCTTCCCAAAATGTAGCAGCAGTGTGAGGAGTCAGACACACACCATCCTATTCAATGCCTGCAGCCTAGCTTGTTTTTTTTTGGCATGGCAGAATGGAGAAAGAGGCAGTGATGGAAGGAAGGTGAGAAGACAGCATGCTAGAATTAAGGAGGATTCTAATCTCAAACTTGAACATTTTGAAGATGGGGAGAAAGCTAAATCTAAATTGGAATCTGGAACATCAAATGGAAAGAAAGAAAAAAAGGCTTCCGGAGCCTAATTCTGAATTTAAAACAAGACAACTACGCCAAACGTCATTGTTTTGCATATTTGCTTTTACATCAATATAATTTATGTCTTCATTTCAAATATCTTAAAAAAAAAATAGGGCTGATAAATTCAACTTACTTAAAATAAGGTCTTAAATCTCCCTTGAACCAGTATTTACATCAAACCTGTCAGGGAGACCACTATGATCTCCACAGAACCCACAAGTCAAGACAATTTTTGTTTTAAAGAAAACAGCTTGCATACCTGGAACTACTGCAGACACAAAAAAGCTCTCAGGTACAAAAAGACAAACTCTGAAACTTGTAAACAAACCTTTCTGAACAGTTTTCACACAAATTCTCATTCAGAACAACATGTTAACAGCTATTTTCAGAAATGTGGAAATAGCTTAAAAGCAGTCTTCCAGGGATGAACAAGATCAGAAGACCCAGGATTAGGTTAAAGCATTGCCCACAGTATCACTTAAAAAAAATCCAAATCAATTACTTCGCAAGGCAATTTAAAAAAATTTAAAAAAAAACAGAAGTAGAAAAATAAGTTCTACTCATGGAGACTTAAATTTGACTGGAACCTAACCAGCCCAAAAAGAATGATAACCTTTGCTTTAGTATAACAGAGCAATTAAACAATTATTATTTATAACACTGAGCCATTACTAGGTGGACTGGGAGAAATTAGTTTACAAACCCTCTCCCATTATAAAACTTGAATGAAAACAATGGAGGTCAGAGGATTACCTGATTTTTATGCCTCCAAACAAGGAATTATCAATACACTGCTGTAGCAAAACCAACACTCCCAATAAATGGCAAAATGGAATTTGGCAGCTGTAGACTGCGCAGTATCAGCAACATGGTAGCTGCCTTTTGGTTCCACAAACTACATTGCTAAAAGTGAAATTACTTTGTATGAAAACAGAAACAAAATTAACTGGAACACTCAAAATACTACATAACCAATGAACAAGAAAAGCTCCCTCCTTCAATGTAAAAGAGGATTTACAACACACATACACCAGCCAGAACCTAGTGTTTTAATACAAAGCTGTGCTTCATCACTTGGGTCAATAGTGAAAATTTACCACACAAAAAAAAAGACAACAATTTGGACCAGTGCCTGTAACTCCTGATTCTTTGGATTTACAGATTACGCAATTCCTTTATAGAAAATTCCCTAGCATGCCAGGTTTGGTGAGAATTCAAGCACCACTTCAACAATACCCTTTCCATCTGAAGCGACTGGTTTTACCTGCCTGCCTTTGAAGCCCACAAGCACACCAAGACGGATTACAAAATCTCCTTGGTTTCAAATTGGTATTCTTCTCCTCTCGGGGCTCCATCTCTTTGTGCCAATGAGTTAGAAAATACAGAACAAGGAAACACGACAAAAACACAGGCCTGAAATGTAAACCTTTAGCAATTCGACAAATTGCACAAAACCCATTTAAAGCACTGCAGGCTGTTAAATGGAATAAGATGGGTCTAGAGGAACCTCCAGTCTAGATCCATCCATTCCCATTTAAAGCTGCATTTCAATTTCTCATATTGCTAAAGCACAATCACTGAGAATAAAAGGAAAAAATGCCTGTGTGCTTTGCAGGTGTAAGTTACTGAGCAGGCAGCCTGTCTCAGATCCCATGCAACAACACCCAGTTTATTTTATAATTTTTAAAAAAAAACTGTTCAGTGCTTGGTTGTTTTCCATGAGGCTGTCCTGTCTGTGCCTAATCCATGTTCCACAGTTCATGAACTAATGGTCTCCCGCCCATGCTCCAGTGGTTAGGTGGCCGTTGGTTCCATTTGTGCTGTTGGCTCCTTTCGAGGGATTGTGGTGATGGGGTCTTGTGCCGTTGGTCATAGAATCATCATCATCGGAGCTACTCTCAATGTCACTGCGATCATCCTTAGAGACCTGAAGTGAACAGAAAAATTGAATAATATTTACACAATCAGGCAGTTACACATTTTGCCTTTTCATCCATCAGCATCATTTACAAAACTGGAATTGCACTCATAAAATACGACTTGTCATTTTGATCAAATGCCTGCTGCTCCATTTGGTACAGTAGTAATAGTGTCAATGTTAGGCTGTGTTAGGTTACCAGGCTTCAGTACTACAAAGGCTCAAAGTTGTGGCCTGGATCAAATATCTAACAAGAGAGTGTTTCTGATCACTGTGGGTCCATGCTGGGAAGATTCTAAAGAGAAAAAAAAAAAAAAAACTTAAGGCAAGGTGCTTTCTTCCCCAGAACAGAGAAACGAGAAAGGCCCTTCGTGGAACTCTCACTAGGAAAGAGGTTGACATTTGTCCTTGGAAATGGTTCACAACATCCAAGAGCTCAACAGACAGGCAAGTTAACTCAAAGCTTACTTAAGAAAATAAATCCTCTCAACAAAAAAAAAGGTTTCCCCTTGGCTCCCATTGCCCAGATTCCACAAATGCCTAGCTAAGTTCAGAAGACAGGAATTGCAAATTTAATTCCCATTAATGAACTTCTGCAAAATTGAGCTTTTCTCACATTAACTGGGCTGGCAAGAAAGAAGTTGCTATGCTTCTTCGAGTTTCTTTGGTCTGTCAGGCCCAAGCAGAAGACAGTGACTGCCTGTGGAGAGGGAGGGGACATCAGGCTGTGACAGAGATCAGGAGCTCTGTGGAATGGAGCAAGAGATTGGAAACTGTATTCATCCGCTCTTTGAAAGTAGCCATTAGCTCCAGACACCATCCACAGATTAATAAAAAATGCACCATGTCAGTAAATCTTTAAAGGAATTCTAGCGTTAGCAGCCTGCAAGAGGTTAGCTATGCAATGTGAATTGGTTAAACAAAAACAAAATTTGAGTCAGAACTCACATGTTATTAAGTGACAGAATCACCACAAGTCAATTAGAGTGTCATCAACAGGACCCCCTTCTTAAAAAGTTGTACAAGTGAAACATCAAGGTTAAACCCTGTTCAACTTAAAATGCTTCTGTTGGAATGCTGATGAGATGAGGGAATCTTATAGGAGTTACCAAGTCTAACTTCAAGGAACTTGGCTATTCTCAACATTAATTCAGCCCCCTTCGCTGAACTGACATCTAACAAAATATAAAAAAAAACTGCCTCATTTATTTCAAGCAAATAATTCACAGGATGTGGATGTCACTGGCTGAGCCAGCATTTATTGCCCATTCCTAGTTGCCCTTGAGAAGGTGGTGGTGAGTCATCTTCACGAACTGCTGCTGTCCCATGATACGGTTAGGGAGGCCACTCCACGATTTTGACCCAGCAACAGTGAAGAAATAGCAATATATTTCCAAGTCAGGATCATCTAATCCCCAGTGTGGAAACAGGCCATTCAGCCCAACAAGTCCACACTGACCCTCCGAAGAGAAACTCACCCAGACCCATTCGCCTATCTTATCCCTGTAACCCTGCATTTACCATAGCTAACCCACCTAACCTGTACATCCTTGAACACTGGACAATTTAGCATGGCCAATCCACCTAGCCTGGACATTTTTAGACTATGGGAGGAAACCCAAGCATACACGGGTTGAACGTGCAAACTCCACACAGACAATCGCCCAAATTTGGAATCAAACCCGGGTTCCTGGTGCTGCAAGGCTACAGTGCTAACCACTGGAAGCCACAGTGACAGATGGTGAGCAACATGGAGGGGGAACTTGCAGGAGAT